TTAACAGATTCTTGGAAATTCCATCCATTGAAAGAGAACCACCTCAGTACAGCCCTTTAAATGTTCAGTCTATTAATAAGAATCATTTGGGCCTCTGTATCAACTGCTCAACAACTGAGCCACGCAATCAGCATCAGGCTGCAGCGCCACACGGCGAGATATCATTAACAACAGCATCTGTCACAGCGTTGCAGTGATTCAGCAACAGCAGATTCAAAACTGGCAATTTGGTATTAATGTGTTATTATTATTCACAGCTGTGAGCTTTCGCAGGTAGACGTAAAACTGGTCTGTATGAAACTATGCTGATCACTTATTTAGTAAGGGTGGCACATGAGCAGCCTTAAAATATTCAGACACAATCAGAGGACACAGAGCATTCTGTTTGTTACATAATTTAGAAAGAGGAATTTGGTTGATGTCATGTTGACTGAGCTAGAAAACAGGCTCGTATTCAAGAGGAAAAAAATCGGGGAGTATCAGCGAAGAAAGTGGGGCTGGAAATCCTAGATCAGATGTCCTTCATTTTATCTAAGGAAAGTAAAAAATATTTGGATGTTGGAGTGACCCGATAGCAGAGTGGTCAGTGCAAATACCACTTCCTCAATGTGAGTCCACAACACAGACGCCTGGTCGGCTGGGATGCTTGGTGCACATCATTCCATTACTTTTTCTCAAGGAGTTTAGTAAATCTCTGGTATGTGTGAACCATTTCGGATCTTTTGTGTGTGATTAAAGAAGTGATTTCTTTATTTATATGAAAGTATCTCCTTTTTTTGAATGTGTACTTTCCCAAGGTTGAGGAGGAAATTCTGCCCAATGCTAAACGTAATGAAATTCAGTTTAGCTTGTTATAACGGGAATTTCTAATGTATAATTATTGTGTTTTGTCATACTGAAAGTAGATTTACAAAGACACAAAACATCCTCTGAAGAAAAGCTAAAAGTCGCATTTAAAAAAGACCAAATTCAGTAACATAAACTCAAAAAGAAAAAGGGACACTGAAGTGCACTGATACATTTTCTGCCTCTACTAGTGCAAACAGATCGTAGCATAACCATCTGAAACAACATGACTGTGGATATTAAGATAACCATCAGTGGTAGCTAGAGACCAGAGTTAAACTTTAGCTCTTTTGAAACATTTGGTGGCGAAATATTCAGCAGAATCCTGCCTCGACAATGAAAATACAGTTTGACCAAAACAGTGCAGCATTGAGCAATAGTAACTGCGTCATCAAATCTTGATTATAAATGGCAATAATGAATAGTTTTTCAGACAGTGGTGGTGGGTGGTACATATCACAGCAGTGAGGTATTCTATTGGATGAGTTAGAAGTGTAACCAGAGTCTTGGAAGGAAGCTGTGGAAGTGAAAGGGTTGTTGTAGCTCATGAGAATCTGGGACAACTGCCCAGCAGAAACATATCTGTTCACATGTTCAGATCAGACTGCTCAGATGTTAAGGGCAAGAGGTGGTTCCCTGCTTGTCTGTCCCCAGTCTGTCACTTGTTTACTTCTGTTTGTTAGGCTGGTATTTGCGGATGACATGGTGAGAGATGCAGCAAAAGCTAAACGGGTGATGGAGCACTGAAATTTGAATTTGAGTTTACTGCATGTGCCTCAATGGTCTGAATAATCTGAATGGTTACTAGTTATTTAAGCTGTTAAAAACAGGGTGAAACGTCGCGATTGTTTGAGAGCGTGTATCATCAGGACCTTGAGAATGTGGCTCCGTCCCCAGATAGCTACTCTGCAGACTGTGAATCCAAATAAAGTCTTTGGCTTTATTTCTGGATACTAGATGGAAGATAAGATAAGAAGACCTTTATTAGTCCCACATTTGCAGTGTTACAGCAGTAAGAGTCAAAAAGACACCAGCACGTAATAAGTAACATGCAAGTGGAAACATGTCGTCCATGTTTATATTAAGTCTTTGCAAGGTACCATTAGGGGTAAATGAGAATACACATTTTTGTAATTTGGTTGAGTTTGGTTGAAATTTCCAACTAACAGCAATGACATTTACAGTAGTGATACTTTTTTTAAATCTGTGTTAGGACTGATGTAGTTCAAGTTGAATTATTTTCTTCCCCTGTACAGACAAAAGATGAGGGAGGTATCCCAGTAGTGTCAGTCGTTGATCTGCTCCCTAACTCGCAGATATTTCTGATATTTGACATTGTCTGCTCATTTGTAAATTAATTTGAAACATTAAAAAAAAAAAAAGAATTGTGATTTCAGATTTTCGTTGGCAAGGATATCGTCCATATTGTGCAGTGAAATTTTCTTCACAAATTAGAGCTGTAGCTGTAAAGGAGGAGTGCTGGACCACTGCTGCTCTGCATGCTGACAGCATTGTTGGCAGGCTGGCTTCTCAATTTGGCTTTGTGCTGTGTGGAAGCCTGGATGATGAGTTCATTTGTGGCCAGGTGGTTGTTGTCTTGTGTTCCCCTTCGTGGTGGTGTGCTCCTTGATGCTCCCTGCGTTTCTAAGATGGTCAGAAAGTCGTGGCTTATCACTGTTCTTCTTCAATGGTTTCTTTCTCGGTGGACGGAGCTCATCGCAGAGAGATTTACAACGGCGCCTGGGTAGATGCTAAAACTCTCAGTCACATCTTGCTGCCAGCCAAGTCATTCTAGAGTCATTTTATCTAATAGTAATAGTGCCCACTGCAATTGTATTACAAGGTGTGATGGAACAACTTTGGAGAAAATTAAGTCACACCTCACCGGCCTGTGGAGTGTGAGGTACATTTTAAGCTGCTCAGTGAAGGTGATATCAGCACAAAACGGAACAATCTACACCTTGGTAATGGAAAAAAAATCTAAAATGAAATCCTACCTCATAATGGGAATGACAATAGAATCCATATCAAATAAACTGATTATTGTAATGTCATGTGTTAATGTTGTGCTTGTAAATAGGCTTTAAAGTTTGATGCATGAGTTGTGGTCACAGGAAATACAAAGCAGAAGATTTGTTCTTTGAAAGCTTAAAGTTCTGCTCTATGACAAACCTATTCTGAGAGAAACCAGAGTGCATAATGAAATAGGATATCTCTTTTTTTTATTCTTGCCAGTCAGGCATTAATTTCAAGGCCACATTTCTTTCCCAACCCTCTGCTGCACACACACACACACACACACACACACACACACAGTTGCATGCCTACAGACAAACACTTTTGCTCACAGTTGCTGAACACAGATGGGACAATATCAGCTGCGATCATTAGCTTCAAGTGAGAATCACATCTAACCAGGTTTCCTTCTGTTTTGGCTTTCAACAGCTACTTTGAGAAGCAGAAAGCGGAGTGGCAGAAGGAGCCGCACGAGCCTGCCATCCCAGAATCCCTAGCTGCTGCTGCAGCGGCAGCACAACAGCTCCAGGTGTCCAGGAAGCAAGACGCTCGTCAGACAGCCACCTTCAGACAGCAGCCCCCACCTATGAAGGTATTACTCCTGTTGACTAAAAATGGCTGTAGTTCAGTTTTGAATAGTAAGAGAAAGGTTTGACTCACAAACAGAGCAGCACTGTCAGGGTTAATCTATAGTTAATGACACTGCACTTTGGACAGTGTCTCTCTTTAAGTGATTCTAGACATGATCTCCTGAAAATCTCTGCACAATTTGGCCCATACTTTGCTTTCACATGTGATAAACACAGCAGGAGACTTTCCAGTCAGACACGTTAAGCTTTCAGTCCTCCTCTTCCAAATATTTACATGGGCTCATTCAGACATTAGTAAAATCTTGGGGCCTGGCAGGAGAAACTTCAGAGAATGTTTGCAGCAACTGACTCAGACATTTGCGTTCTCACTTACAGCCCCTGATAATTTCAGATTACCCAGAGTTCAGTGTATGCCTGAAAGCAGCTGCCTAGTTAAACCACTTCCAAGATGTAATTGGCTCCTAACTGTGCCATACATGGAGAAATTGTAAGAAAACAAACCACCCTACATTTAAATGAGTAACAACAACTACACAATGATGGAGACCACCAATCAGCCAAGTTCATTACAATACATGGCTGAAATAAGAGATGTGTGCTTTAGGTGCTCTCTTATCAACAAAACCACAAAGATATAACACAATGTGGAGTAACTGTTCTGAAATGTCCTCCCCTCTCTCCAGGCCTGCCTGTCCTGCCACCAGCAGATCCACCGTAATGCTCCCATCTGCCCCCTGTGCAAAGCCAAGAGCCGCTCCCGCAACCCAAAGAAGCCCAAGAGGAAGCCAGATGAGTAGATGCCACTCCACCTCCAGCTTCAGTAGGGTTTAAATGGAACTGGTCCAACACACTGATCAACGATCAGCCAGGTTCATTACAATACACGGCTGAAATAAGAGATTCAGTCTAACAGTAACTTGTTCTTAGTAATTTGTTCCATTACCAGTCGACGACTGATCGAGGATCTGATGTTGTTTTTATTAGTGCTTTGGATGTGTTTATATGTAGCTGTAAGACTTCCAGCGTAGCTTTACTAGCCCCCAAACAGTGTACCTGCAATAATGCAAAAATGAACTTGAGTGTCCAAATATCTATGTTGCTGTTGTTCATCGCTATAGATGTTGTACTGTACCTCCTTTATTTTTAATGCATGCGTCTTCCATAACTGTCTGTTGTGTATCATTTGTGCCGTTATGAAATCGAATAGGTTTAATTGCTAAGTTAAAATAAAACACAAAGTTGTTTTAAATGTTTACAGTGTTTAAGTGACCAGAAACTGGACGTGAAAATAAGGCCAGGCTTTTGCTCTGAATAGTGTTGTGTGTTTAACTTTAATACAGTGTTGAGAAAATAAATGGCTGTTTTGTACTAACCTTGTTCCTGTGTGGTTTTTTTGGAAGTCGACATACTTCCTTTAGTAGTGTGAACATCAGTCGTGGTTGAGTAGGGCGACTTAGAATACCAGCATCAACATATGGATCAATGTATATTGGGCAAACGGGTGAGTTTAGCTTGTGTGTGTGAAATGGAGAGAGGAAGGAATATGTCTGACTCCACCACAACTTTGTCCCTTTTATTATATTAATACTGTGCCCATCATGTCTGCAGCTATCTGTCAGGAAAAGGACAGTGAGGTCTCGCTAAATGAGTTCCTGTAGCGCTTTTGTCAGGGTGACCCCTCATTTCATCTGTTGCCAGGGCAACTCCACGTTCCTTGCTGGTTGCTACGGTAACCCCAGGTTGCTGTGACCCGCATATCTTCACCAAGTAGTCCCTCCCAGATCCAGTGAGGGGCATCTAATGACTTTGGGAGATTTTTGCAGAAACTTGTCCGACCGACACTATCCTACAAACGAGAAGGGAGATGTGTGTCAGCGCTGTAAATAATCTGTTCAGCTGAACTGGCAGCAAATACTCGACACCGTGTTGGTCCAATGTGATTTTAAATTCACTTACTCTGCTGCTCGAGTGTGTGTTTAGTCTGCCCTTCAGTGTTTGCATCTGCAGTTGTGTCTTCTTCCTCCAGATAAAACTTCTCAAGGCCAGAGAAGCCTGTTCCTGCTCACAGGCGCTGCAGACAGCGGGATCATGGAGCTCCACCTCCGCAGCCTGCCACAAATCATACAGTGCACACACACACACACACACACACAGAGAGAGCGGGGATGAGCAGGGATTCTACAGTAATCATGGTAGAAGTGAGTCACACGAGGATCGCCTCCTGACCCGCCTCACATCCTCCTTGAAAGTTTGGAGCCTCAGCATTGAGATGAGTTGAAGGGGGACGGACTGAACTTCTGGACCTTGACACATGAGACCGAGGGAAGGTTGTTGTCTGTGTCGTTTAGCGCAGTCCAACAGAGGGAGGTTACTCTCTGTGGAATCTGCCATCTCTCCCCCTGCTGCAACAACCTGCCTTCCACTGCCTCTCCTCTGGTGGCCTCCTCCGTGTCCGTCTCTCCTGCTGTCCTCCTCCTCTCCCGGGGAGAGGAGCTGCTGCTGTTTGAGTCGGACACGGCGAATCATTTTCCTGCAGTAACTCGTCAGGGCCTCCTCCTCCTCCATTTTGTATGAAACAAAGCCCCTGGACGTGTTGTCGTTGTGTCTCATCAACTAAACTGTGACACTGGGACAGTAACACCGCAGAACTAGTGAAACTCAGCGTTGTGTTCATCTGAGTCAAACTCTGCGTCTTTTCTACACGCTGTTTACACCGCGTCTTCTTTTACTGTGTCAACAGCTGCTCACTGCGTCACTACCGCCCCCTGGTGGCTGACAGGGGCGTGTCAAGGGGAATAGGTTGGACACATTCTTAATTCATTTCTACGGTATGGAGGACCACAATGACTTAAGTATAAATCAATCAATCAATGTATAAATACATAAATAAATAAATAAATAACGAAATGAATAAATGTCTTAAATTTACTTCCACGTGTATTTATTTCTGTGTCCATATGCTAATGAGGAAGGCGGTCCTAACCTCAGTTTCATGCAGAATTGGTCACAGGAGTGTGATGATCCAGTTCTACTACTTCTGCCTGTCAATGCTGACTGTTGTGCAGTAGTTGGTGTTTGCAGTGTTGTGTCAGTTCACACTTAAAAAGAACGAGTTCAAAGTTTTTGTGTGCTCCCAGACAGCAGACACACACAGGCCCCCTCTCCCACTGACTCGCTCAGAGAGACACACAGTGAGATCCCAGCTTGTTCATGAAGCAGCAGGTCAGAGACTTAGTTGAAGAACAGTGGAAACAGTGAAACACAGAGTTCCTCTGGTCACAACTGATCAGTGATCAGCTGCTCAGTGATCAGAGCTGAAGCTGCAGGTGGTTTGTATCAAGCTTGAGTTTCTGTTTCCTCCTCCACTCTGACCTGCTCTCACTTTAACTAACAAACACTCATCACTAGTTATCAGGATCTGATCAGTACATGAAGCAACTCAGTGTTTGTTTGATTCCAGAGCTTATGAGACTCATTTAAACGTCATGAAAAAGAACTCGTCAACATGTTGTACTGAAGACAACATGTTGACGAGTCATGAACAGCAGGACTCAGAGATAAAATGACCGCAGTGACACGAAGAGATGTCACTCCATCGATTAATAACTCTTTTTGGTCCTCCCTCCCTTCCCTTGTACAATGATAATAAATGCTTTCTATTCTATTCAAGTTCCAAGACTCAATCAAGCTGCACCAAATTACAAACACTCATACATATCAGTCCTCTTAGTAGATCTTTGCATTATTTATTGAGAAATAATTTAAAAAGTAAAACAATGAAATCTGCTATCTCATAATGTTAAAGAAAGAAAAGAAAATCCCAGAACTGCCCCCTTAATTGAATTTGCTCCAGAAGTTTATGAGTTATTTTTCTAGCTTTTGAGTAATCGTGCTAAAAGACAAACAGCCTCGATAACATTACTTCCTTAGCGTAATGACAGACTCATCATCAGCTGGGTATGTGTTACTTTGTTTGGAGGGTGTAAATGGTATGAAACTGTGATGATAACAAATGTCACAGATGCAGTTTAATTCAGATTAAAATGTAAAGAGACTCCAGCAAAATTCATTATTCATTCTTGTGGGCTTTTTTTTAAAGAAGACATTTGAATATGTCGCAGATGGACAATTCTTGGTGTGAAGGATGAAATCAATGAGGACTGAATTTCCTGTGGTTGCTGTAGTGTTTATTATGGCAAATGTGTGCTGTAAAAAAGCTCAGTTAGCACTGCAGTTGCTAATTGTTCTTGTTTTGTCACTGGTGCCGTTCTCATGAAAACTGTCCTGCTTGTCTACATCTAATTGTTCCACGTCTCTGTGCCCATGAATAAAGTGTCTTGTGTATTTGTACAATGCCAAGAATCTGGGCTCCTGTGCCATCTGCTGAAAGAATGTGGTGTGTCTCAGCCTTCCCTCCACACACAGTGCAGTATGAAGACATGGCTGAGGAACAGCTGGCTGGCTGCATCTCCAAAGCTTCTGACAGTCACGCAGCTGACACTTACCAAAACGGCTGCATTGGTGTGAATCAGGGAATCGGGGTGATAACAGGACACGTACACTGCAGACTAACTGACGTAATCGTCCCAATAGAAACAGCAGCTATGTTTGTTATACCTGCTGGTTTGACTTAAAACTGCTGGTGAGGAATTCTGACCCTGCAAATAAAGACACAAGAGACATGGACGTCTCCATTTCTTCACTCTACTCCATTTTTTTTTACTCAGGACAGTGGGACAGACAAAGTCACACAGGCGACGCGTCACTGTTCTATCACCTTTCTAATTATAAACCTGAACCTCCACTCTCCAAGAATGGAAGTTTAGCCAGGCCCATCTGTCGCCTAAAATTAGCCCCCACACCCCCAGAAAGGAGCTCTCCCCCCGTTCACGAATACACAAACACACACACACACACACA